GTTCGTATTGTTGCAAAAGTTTTCATTAGGGGTCAGATCTAGTTTGAGAAGATAAATTCTGCCATATGAGACGAAAGCTACCTATGGGTGAGTTGTGAATGTAGATGAGTCAAGTGCAAGATTGTGTACATCTGTGACTGGGTTCAGAGATGAAAGTTACTGGTCAGGGTCTTGAATGACAGTTGATTATGAACACGACAGTGACGTAGTCATACCTTTGTGCTCGAGTTTTAAAAGTTTTAACTAGGATTTTTATATTATTTTTAGCAATGTTTTGAATCGTTCATACTCCAGAGATATTTCCCTGAAAATACAAGGTCTTGTTTTTGTAAGTCTTACACCGATTTACTTTCATGCTTTTTACATTAAGTCTTTTTTTCCAGCTGATTTTCTTAAGTTCTAGCATTAAGTCATTTTTAGCTCTTAATTGATTTTTCGTTTTCCCCTTTAGTTTAGGATTTACGTTTTTAGTGTCACCCAAAACCCCCTATAAATATCGATTAGTTCTAGACTTTCTTGCTTCAATCTCTTTCAAAGGGTTTTGCAGAAAAGATCCTCATTCCCTGTGGATTTGATCTCTAAGTACTACAATCAATTAACTGTGCACTTGCGGCTTTAATTGATTCTGTTAGTGTAAAACTTGTTCCCGCACTCACACCACATCAATGTGTTAGACAAAGGACATCAAATTGGATTGCTAAGTTCTTGTCACAAGCTGGGAAAGAAATATTAATTAAATCATTGGGCATTTCATTGCCAGTTTTCTTGATGTCCTGTTTTAAATTTCTGGCTCATATAACTGATGAAATAAGCACTTTTTGATATGATTTTGGTAGGAAAAGGGAGATAAAAACAGATGTATTCCTTGGATTACATAGAGTATATTAAAATTCTCAAAAAGAGATGGAGGTATCAGTTTTAAAGACTTGGCTTTGTTCAATGACGCTTTACTTGCAAAACAAGCCTGGAGCTTCTTAAGATTTCCAAATTCTTTATTCGCCATAAAGATACTATAAAGATACTATAAAGATACTTCTATATTAGACAAGAAATCAAGTAAATCAATCTTATAGATGGAGCTATATTGTGCATGGTTTTGGATTTGATAAAAAAAAAGGAGTTCGACATATTATTGGTGATGGGGAAATGACTCGAATTCAAAAAGATAATGGGATATTAGGTCTCACTCCACGACCAACAGCAATGAGTGATAAATACGAAGAAATTTTGGTCAAGGATTTAATTTCTTCCACTAATAATAGATGACAATGGAATCTAGCAAAGATCGATGACTTGCTTGATGAAAAAGATAGAGAGTTGGTGAAGAACATATACTTACCACAAACATCAAAACCAGATCATGTTGTTTGGAGTCATGAAATATCAGGTGAATACTCAGTTAAAAGTGGCTATTGACTAGCTCTTATTGAATCAATAGTTCAAAGTCCAGAGATACTTGTCACTCATGGAGATCCAGAATTGAAATGGCTTAAATGGAAGTTACCAATCATGCTAAAATTAGAACACTTTCTTTGGTGTATTTCATCTAAAGCAATTGGTGTGGTAACTCAATAAAATTCAAGAGGAGTCTATATGAACAATATTTATCAACGATGTTGCTCAGCTTCTGAAACTATTTACCATATGCTTTTTAACTGTCCAATGTTGTTGATGATTTGGGGACTATCTCGATCTCCCTGGTTTCCACAAATTTCACATGGTGATAATGGAGAAGACCTACTACATAGCATCATTGATTTACAAGGCCATCCAATGTTAAGTAAATCTCATAAGCTTCTTCCATTCTAGATTTTATGAGACTATTTCGATTTCCCTGGCTTCCACAAAATTCACATGGTGATAATGGAGAAGACCTACTACATAGCATCATTGATTTACAAGGCCATCCAATGTTAAGTAAATCTCATAAGCTTCTTCCATTCTAGATTTTATGGAGAATTAAATTTAAACGCAATTTAATATTAAAAAAAAATCATATCTGTCCTGAAAGGGTTGTACAAGATGCTAAAATTGATGTGTCCCAATGGCTGGAAGCAACAAGAAACAAAAACTCAAATAAACCATCAACTATAACTCAATCTCAGATACCATCACAAACTTGGCAAAGATCAGAGTTCACATGTATAAGTGTAACTTTGATGCTAGCTTTAGTTTGGCTAATAATCAAACAATGACAGGTTGGATTGTAAAAGATCATAATAGAATCCCTACATTTTGGGGATCATCGAATATGTGAACATCTGCTACTTCATTAGAAGCTGAGGCTAAGAGACTTCTGACAGCAATGCAACTTGGAACCTAGAAATACAAAGAGTATTTTGAAGGGGGCTGCAAAGTACTAATTGACATTCTAAATGGAAAGTGGAAAATTAACGTATTGAAAACATATGTTTCGATATTTTCCTTTGGGTAAACAGGTTTATGAAATGCATTTTCCTTCACACATTAAGAGCAAGCAACTCCCCAACGAATTGCTTGCAAAAATGAACCTTCAAATTCTCTATTTTATTCTGGTAAATTTTATCCACTAATGTGGTTATCAAATACCGTAATTGCTGATTGTAACACTTCTTCCTAATATATATATTATATATAAGTTTTTTTTGTCGCAAAAACACTCGTTGCTATCATCAATATCTTTCAATGGTATCGTTTCAAAGTGCGGTTGTACTTCACAAACACCATGTCACTTAAACAATTTTGTGCTAAACGATTTCTTATCTTCGTATGAAGCTGTTGGAAAACACTCCTGTTTTTTCTACAACCTGTTACACGACAAGTCAGACTTAGAACCTTCACAGAAAAGTCTCTAAGATTTAGAGCGGAAGATCTGTATCACAACCACCATTCAGATGGTTCTTTCATCTCCCTGTGCCTAACCACAAGTTATGACCAGGATTTTTAAACATTAAGCTCTGTCATTATTTTTTTCTGAACATTAGCATCCAGAACCAACCTCTCAACGCAGTCCAACCAACCTCTCTACTTCTTGGCATTTTACATCATCAGGATACTTGTATTGAATCGTCGGGTTAAGAAAATAACCAGCTGCATGCGAAGGATGATGAAGCTGATTTTCCCATCTCTTGTCAATAATCTCAAAAGTTGTCTTGTACCTCTCGTCTCTGTACTTAAAACTCTGTGAGATAGCCTCCTTAACTCGATCAATTTCTGCGAAAGTATAAACCATAACTCACCAACCTCAAAGAAAAATCGAACATAATTTTGAAAGCATTCTTGCAGAAATACTGCTTTAGTTTTATTGCTCCTCCTTCCTTAGGCCACTTAGACTCATCCCATTCACTTGAAGTAATCAGGTCCTTCAGGTTCTTCTTCTGGTTGTGAAACTGAGATATGGTAGTGAAGGTAGTGTCAAACCTTATAATCGCCAGCATTTGCAGATTTCTGCCACCCGTGTTCCTCCTCATGATGTTCAGAAGAGGGATATGACCATATATGTAGTTAGATTTATTTGAATTGCACTTAGATTTTCTTGCTTTGTGCTTAGATTTTCTCGATTAGACAATTCCCTTAGGCTCGAATAAAAGGGCTTCTACCTTTCCTGGTTATCTCCAGGGTCTAAAATCAACTTTTCTTCCTTGTAGATGGTTATACACTAAGAGCTTCTACCACTACAGACTGCGTGATAAAAGATTCTCTTTTTGAATTTAGAAAAACAAACTCTTCGTTTGGGATAATCAACAACTGCCCTCACGATTGCAAGAAACGAACTTTCAAGTATTAATGTCCTTAGAGATTTTTTTTGTCATTTCAAGAATGTGAAAATCAACAGGAATAAGACACCTTCCTACTTGCACCATCAGATCTTGTACGAAACCATATGGAATCATTTTTTAATTATCTCCAAACTTAACAGAAATTTGAAGAAGTTTGATGTCCTGAATCCCTAGCTCGTTTGCAACTATATAAACATAACATTAAAATTTTCTCCTGTGTCACATAGAGAGTAAATAAGTTCCACGCCTTCAATTACGCAGGAGAAGACAAACTTCACCGAATCATTTATCTTATAAAGTTTTCTTTGGTGTAGAATTATTTATTGCCTCATACTCTTTGGGGCATGCTGGAGATTCAACTTCGGTGTCTTGATTGCTAGAAATAAGCGTGAAATCTCTCTCACCATCAGTGTCTATGATATTGCAACATCCCATTGGATTGTCTACGGTTTTTCCCGGAAGATGATCATTTTTTCTCTTCAGACTTTCTCTAATTTGTCCGATTTGTTTCTCGAGCATCCTGACATAAGTTGAGAGGTTATTGAACTTCTAAAATAACTCCTAATTGTTCTTGTTGAGGTTATCATACATGATGTCTAACTTGTACCCAAAATCATTCATGTAGTCTAACTTAAACTCAAGGTTGCGGTTGTCTTGGGCGATTTTTTTCATGCACCTCTGTGATTCGTCTCTCTATAACTTTGGTGACTTGTGAACCATCTGTGGTTTGTGATAGGTTCACGTCTATGCCGTCAACATGAGTGGAAAGAGCTTCAAATTTATCATTAAGGTCAGTGTATAAGTTGTCCACTTTCATATTTACGTCGTCTGCTAATTTTGCTGCTTCATAAGAAGTGGTTGCATCATAAGCTCAAGCTTGTTGTCTTGAGGGTTGGGGATGATTTTGGAGCTAATTGGGTGTGCTCTTGTGCAGAAAGTTGATGATTAATCTCAGCTGCATTAAATACTTCACATACATTAACAGAACGCTGCTGATTTTTGAGAAACAATTTCACCATGGCTTTAAGTTCTTCGATTTCCCTAAGATCATGAGAAGTGGAACGTGATATTCTTTCTTGATCAGGACAATTGTTTCTGATATTCACAACAAGATTATTAATCAAGACGTAAGCTTCTTCCACAGTCCTTGTCATGAAATTTCCATCGCTTGCCACATTTATAGGTGACTTGGATGTCCATTCAAAACCTTCATAGAAGGTGTTTAAAATGCATGTATCTGTAAAACCATGGTGATGACATTCTCTAATGTACCCTTTATAACGATCCCAAGCTTCATGAAAAAGTTCACCTTTTTTTCTTTAAAACCTATAAATCTTGTCTTAAAGAAGTTTGATCTAGAAGTGGTTAAAAAACGCAGCCTTGCATTTGTCCCATGATCCGAGTGAACCAGGAGACAAGGACTTAAACTATGCATGTGCCTTATCACAAAGAGAAAATGGAAACATCTAGCACTTTACGTAATCTGCAAGAACTACGATCGCTTGCTTGGTACCTTTGAGATGGTTCATAGGGTTCTCCGATGTATCGCCATGGAACTGATTCTGCTTAACCAATTTTATGAGCTTCGGGCTAATCTCATAGTCTACGTTGATGGGTTGTAGACTAATGGGAGAACGGTTCTCATAGAAAACATAAAGAGTATTATAATCTCTTAGAGTTAAGCGAGGAGCGTCTTGGAACCGAACATGCTCATCAAATTGTTGTTGCTGGATGTTGTGGTTATCTTTAAGCTTATCTAAACCTAGAAAATATCTATTGTTGTCTCCCATATATATATATATATATATATATATATATATATATATTTAATTTCTTATGAAGTAAGAGAAAAAAATGAACAAGAAAATGTACCTTAGACTCGACTCTGACCTGAAACTCATAGGCAACGTTAAAGGTCCCCGGCAACGGTGCTAAAAAAGTTTTTAACCCTAGTTTTCTTCTAGCGCACAGATGTTCATTATAGTACTTAGTCGATCCACTGAAGACCAAGTAACTGTACTACAAATTTACTTGAGATGAGAATTGAGCTAAGATGAAAAATATAGGTGTTTGTTTGGAGATTGTGAATTGTGATGAAAATAACAACTAATAAACTTAAACTTAAGTAAATAATAAGTTCAAATCAATACGAGAAGGTGTTGGGAATTAGAAAATTCGCTGGGAATCATAGACTATCTAACAAGATAATTAAACATAGAAATTTCTATAAATATGTTCTTCAAATCAAACCAAGACTAACCTACTCACGTAGTATTATAATCACGAAATCGAACCACTCAGATTACCAAACTTTCATTCATTCTCTAAGTGTTTAAACAATTTAGTTCGATAACTTTACAAAACGCTTTAGATCAACTCTTCTTCTAAAAGGATTTTCTTATCTAAATAAGGTTAACTGATTCGACAACACTTTCGGTGAATAAACCAACCTAATTTCAGTAGCTAGGTTATCGACCAAGCCATAAGCACGAAACACAACTTTAGACGAAGAACTCTAAAGATAAATCTTAATATAACAAACTAGTAAACAATCCATGAATTCCCTTTGGAAAAATCCCTTAAAGCCCAACAAAGTAATTACTCAATGATAGTGTATAAGAACATCATAGAAGTATTGAAAGTTGCTGGAAAATAAATGAGAGAAAGGTAAAGAACAATGAATGCGGATGAAGGTGGAGATCAATGATAACTCCTTTCGGTGACTCCTTCCCCCCAAAGAAGGCAACTCCGCAGGTGTGCGTCTCTCTTCCTTGACCTCTACCCATGGCTTGGTCATTAGAATGACCTAAAACGAGTATATATATATAGCCTTTTGATTCATTGATAATGTCTAGGGTTCGAAGAATAAGTGACAGGCTTAAATTGGGCTTGAAACAGGTCTCTCGGAAGAGAAAATAGCTCCGGCCACGGTCGTGATAGCTGGACCCGCGGTGAATCATGGCCCTGGTGATAACACTTGATTTTGACCTATTTTTTCCATTGATTTCAAATGCTTTTTCAAAGGTTTTAATCAGTTTTAGGAAATTTTATTATGATTTCCATGTATTTGTAGTTTCAAGGCTCTTTTCAGGAAACTTAGAAAAAATGATGGCAAAATGGAAGAAATCCATATTTTTAGCTCAGAGTCAGACCGTCAGAAGTTCAGCCTCAAATGAAGACTTTATAACCGTCTGATCCAGCTCAAATTTGGATACAATCAAGAGGAGACAACCAGCTTTCCATATCACTTTACATCACAAAGATCCAACGGTGCAATCAAAAGATACATTGAGAACAAGTTGATCCAGTTTACCGGTCCCGGGAGATTCTCACCCGCGACAAAAACATGTTTTACCTGCCTTGGAAGACTCTCACCCCCGGTGGACCTTAGGACGAGCCACAAGGCCCAACATCAAAGCCCACTTCGCCATTTCTCTTCAGAGAAGCCCTAAATGAGATCTGAAAGATCATAGGACCTATAAATACATTGTTTAGCAGCCTTAAAAGGGTGTGTGCTCCTGTAATGAGATTTTGAGCCACCAAAAAGAAAAAAAAGAGCTGATCGCGGCCAAAGGAGGTTCAGCCGCGGCCACAAGCATTTTGCCGCGGCCACGAAGCTTTGAACTGCGGCCAGCACGCGTCCTACCGCGGCCGGGATGTCTAGATCTGCGGCCAGCACCATTCGGCCACCCTTGGCCACTTCCACCTCCACCTTGATTCAAATCCATCCAAGTTGGATCAAGCACCACTCCACATTATCCACCATCCACCATTCAACATCATACCACCTCCACAACCACCTCACAAACCATCACCAACACCAGGTAAGTTTTCTTTTCTCTCATCTTTAAAATTCTTCACATACTCTATTTCTCATCCTTGCCTGACTAGGGGCAGTGTGATTTAAGTCTGGGGGAGGATTTCATCCCTTTTTAACCACTTTTTCTTGCATGAGCCTTTGCATTCTGCATTTTTCTTAAAAAATTTCAATATTTTTTTTTGGTTTTTCTTAAAACTTTTCAAAGTCTTTTGAGTTTCAAAAAGTGTTTTCAAAGGTCAAATACAATTTGAGGGAATAATGACAAAATCGATAATGATAACCAGCCTGTTTGCTTCTACACCAATCATTCATAAAAATTCTTTCAAGGTTTAGTACCAGACAAGACGGTAGCTAGAGTACTTACACTACGAGATCCCACCAGAGGACTTCTATTCATGAAGATTTTTTTTGACAGGATATACTAGCTCATCTTACTTGGACTTAATCTTGATATCTAATTTTCTCATCAATGGTTTTAAGAAGGCATCATGATATACATCTAGGACATCTTTACCTTATTGTTACCACTCTTTGTTGTCCTAGATGGCCAGTTCATCTTTAGCTTGTACCACACCCTTAACCCAGACCTTCATGTTCTAACCTCCTGCATTATTTTAAGTCTAATTTGACAGATTTGTGCAAAAACGCCGGAGTGGAAGGAACAACATAGTTTTCAGTCACTCAAGAGAAGGACTGAAAAAGACAAGAAAGGAGTGTGCCAGAAATCTTATGATGCCTCAGAAAAGCTCATTCTTAAAGGTAAATTTCGTGCTCCCTAAGACTCCAAGTCAAAAGGCAGTTTCCCCTTTCAAAAAAAAACAAAAAAAAAAAGAAAAAAAGAAAGGAAAGGAAACAAAGAGCCTAAAGAGTCTTAGAAGCCGAAATCATGTGAGCCAAGGCAATAGGTATTCACTTAAGGAGTTATGGATTCACAACCTGGACAAAAAACTAAGTCTGGGGAGTTACAAGGAGAACCTGAAGAAAGGAGATCAGAAATCTTAAAGCAAGGAGAATGTGACTGAAAATTGTGGGGGCATTTACAGTTCCATCCTCTCTTGCTGTTTTGCATAATGTCCTGTCTCTCCAGAAAAAGGTAACCCTAAACACATTAAGCCTTACCATTAAAAAGCCTTTTGATACCTAACCTTGAATGCCTTGTTTAATATCCTTTTGATGAGAATCACTGAAACCTTTAATGAATGTTAAGAGCTAGTTGACTAGAAGTTAGTTATAAGTGTGTGGATTTTCGCATGACGGATTAACGGACTAGTTATGTTTGTATTTTTGTGAGAATTTTCTAGACTTGATCTGATTGATGCATTGTCCATAATTAAGGTCTAGAAGTATGGTTGCTGATATTTTTGAGTTCCCTCTCATTTCGATTGAATGATATTTTTCCAGATTTGATCTTGTTTTGTTTGATGACAAACAAAGTCTTAAGTCTGGGAGAGTTGATAACACCTGATTTTGATTTCAAATGCTTTTTCAAAAGTTTTAATCAGTTTAGGAACTTTTATTACGATTTCCATATATTTTTAGTTTCAAGGTTCTTTTCAGGAAATTTAGGGAAAATGATGGCAAAATGGAAGAAATCCACATTTTTAACTCATACTCATACTGTCAGAAGTTTAGCCTCAAATGAAGACTTTATAACCGTCTGATCCAGCTCAAATTTGGAGAAAATCAAGAGGAGACAACCAGCTTTCCATAGCACTTTACATCACAAAGATCCAACGGTGCAATCAAAAGATACATGGAGAACAAGTTGATCCAGTTTACCGGTCCCGGGAGATTCTCACCTGCGGCAAAAGCATATTTTACCTGTCATGGAAGATTCTCACCCCCGGTGGACCTTAGGACGAGCCACAAGGCCCAACATCAAAGCCCACTTCGCTCTTTCTCTTTAGAGAAGCCCTAAATGAGACCTGGAATACCGTAGGACCTATAAATACATTTTTTAGCAGTCCTAAACGGGTGTGTGCTCCTGTAATGAGATTTTGAGGCACCAAACTCTGTTTTTCTAGGGTTAGGCGATGGAGATGGGGATTCTTCCCCAGATCCATTGTTCTTTCTCCTTTCTATTCTACTAACTTTTCTGTTTCATTCTTTTGCATTTTTCTATGTCTTTTATCATTCATTGCATCATGTAGATTAGTCCCAAAGAGTCAAGTTGTTTGAAGAGTCATCGATGAGCATATATATCTCGATTAGGATTTCTAAGTTTCTAGACCATATTCTAGATCTCATATCTTCTAAGTTGTTCATATTGCATGAGAGTAGATTCATGACCTATTCTCTGAGCCCAGGATCGACCAGAGCCACGAGAGTGTGGTATCAGATCATCCATACCTAGCTTCAGAAGAACATAGTCGCTATACGAGTCGAAAGCTACCTATAGAGAAGATGTGAGCAGACACATTTAATGTCTAATGCATGATCTTATTTTTGGAATGAGAGCGAGAGTTAATTGTCAGATCTAAGTGATTAGTTGATTAAGATGACGAGAGTTGGTTAATCATACATATGTCTATTCTAGTTCCATGCAGATTCCTAGAAACAGATGAAGATAAATCGCACGGAAGCTAATTGGAAATGCCACCATACATCGATTAGAGTAAATCGGAGAAGTCTAAGTCGCCACCTATGAGTTTTAGAGTCTATAGTTTGATTCGATATGCTTGAGATATTCTTTTAACAATTCATCCTGCATTGCATTTTATTTCCTATGAATATTAGATTAGGTTTAGTTTAGGATTCTTAACCAAAAACCCCAAAACTTTAATTGGTTTATGACTTTGCTTATTTCCCAGTTTGTTGTTTCTTGCAGATTAGACATCCTCCCTGTGGATCGACACCCTAAGTTCTACAATGTACATCTGTGCGCTTTCAGATTTTAAGGTTTTATAAATTTAAAACTTTTTTTATGGACCAATGGACTTGTATGAAAAACAACCCTAGGCCCATAGCCCATCACCTGGCCGCGGGCGCGGCTTTTGCTCTGCTTTGGGACTGCATCATCTGTCTTTAGTGTATCGGGAATATGAAGATCTAACTGTTGGATTGTTTCCAAACCAATTGAATTTGAAAGCCAGTTGTCTCCTCTATGTTTTCGCAAAGTTTGGAGATGATCAGAGGGTGTGAAGATTTTTCATCGCTTGCCATACTTCTGACAACCTGAATTTATCTAAAATTGTTCATTTGCTCCAAATTGCACATCTTTAGTCAAAGTTTCCTAAAAAGTCTTTGAAAACTCTAGAACATTTAAATGACTTTAAAAAATTGAAAACAGAGTTAAAACACCTGCATAAAACATTAAAACGATTCATAAAAGTGGTCAAAATTCGGTGTTATCAATCACCTAGCTTGGAAATAGACTTGGACATGGGCCTTGTTGAACTTGGTGAATCAGTGGTAGAGACTCCATCTTTTGTCTTTTCTTTAACACTTCTGTCACTTGGCTTCAGAAATTTCAAAACCATCTGATGGGATCATGGAGAGCTTGCTTGAACCAGAGCTTGGAGACAAGGAACTTGTAGCTGAGGAGCTTGAACCCGAGGAAGCATTAAAAGCATAACGACCCAATGACCAGAGCCAAGTCTAGAAGACTCAAAGAAGCCGTTAGCAACATCATCAATCAACCAAGTTTAAAGGGGAAAGAGTATAACATAAACACTCTTGTTGTGATTTAAGTCTGAGATACTTAGTGGACTTGTGATCCAACTTTGTAGTCTTTTTCCCCATCATTAGTTTTGTCCCAATGAGTTTTCTAGTAATATATTTTTAATGAGGCAGAGTTGGATCACTAAGCATCTAAGTCCACTAAGTTCAGCCTAAAAGGCGTCGGCCAAGAAGATGAGCGTATGAGTTATTTGAATTCAAACTTAGATAGTTGCACTTGTAGTTTTTGAGATGTGTTTATTGCTTTGGCCGAGACTCTCTTCTACTTCTTTATATTTTGTTGTAATCTCATTTGAGAAATCATCTTATCTTTTATATATAAAAAATCTCTTTTCAAGTTAAGATCCAACTCTTGTTGGTGTGTAATATCCTACAATAACCCTCGGTTCTCTTTGACTCATGAGTCATATCCAGTGAGGAAAATATAACCAAATTCATCAAAGGTCTTTCCGCAGCCTTTGGAGTCTTAGCGTTACCACACACCTTGAAACACTTGTGTTTGCAAGGATTATCAGTTCCATTCCAGTGCTTGAGTGTTGATCTGGGTAAGGAGGATTATATCTAGGATCATATCGCCATCTCTTTTCAGAGAAAAACTGGCTGCCTCTTCACCTTGTTTCTTAATGTCCTCATTGAAACCAGAGAAAAGTTTCTCAAACTCCTCTATGATGGCTTCCTCATCCTCATTAGTGAGGTCTTTCTAAGTTGAAACTTTGCCAGGAAGAAGAAGCTTAATTTCTTGAACAGTAGCTTGATGATCAGTGTTAGAGAAGATATCAGTAAAATACTTTTTTGGATTAGACACTGCTTTGCCTGGTAAAGATCCTTGAATTTGAGAAGTGGAGGGTCCTTTTTTCTCCATTATATTGATCTTGGAGTTTAGGGTTTCGATCTTTGAAGTGAGGTCTGAATAAGAACAGTCTACTTTGTTGTGGATCACTGCCATTTTCTTGCTTAAATCCATGGCATCATTTGCTTAACCATGGATAAGTTGCTGGAGCATGTTCTTCTTTTCTTGATCCTTATGCCCTGAATTATGATGTAGACTTTGTAGTTGGGGAGGGACAAAGCCTTGTTGGTGGGGGTTTTGAGGGAAGAATTCCTGGGTAGAGTGTTTCTTATAGAAGTTGAATCCCCTTTGGTAACTTTGTTGGCCACTTACAAAGTTTACTTCAGCAGTGATGTCTTCACCTTGAACATTTTCTTGAAACCCATGATTCACATCTCCAACAAAATTGACTGACTTATAAGAAGATAGTAGAAGTTTGTCTAGGTTCTCACTGAGAGATTTAATGTTTTTTTCTTATGTTTTACTCTTCAACACTCACATCTCTCCTTGAATTTCTGTCAAACTCTGATCCATAATCCTTATCAATCTTAGCTAGGTTTTTCACAAGTGCCATGGCTTTATTCACTTCCCTGGCCATGAATTTGCCATTTGATGCATTGTTTAATAGAAGTCAGATTTTAGGCAAGGCTCCTATGTATAAAGTGCTTACTAACTAAGCATCTGAGAATATATCCATGGTGAGGGCACTGCATAGTATAACTTCTAAACGTCTCCCATGCCTCACAAAAGAACTCATGGTTATTCTGTGTGAAGCTTGATATCTCATTCCTCAGTCTAGTTGTTCTTGAGGAAGAGAAAAACTTAGCCAGAAAAGCTCTCTTGCACTGATCCAATGATGTAACTGATCCTTGAGACAGAGACTTTTCCCATCGATGAGATTTGTCTCCTAGGGAATATGGGGACAACCTTAGCTTGAAACTGTCCTCATTCACTCCATTCATCCTTGTTAGACCACAAATTCTATCAAAGTTGTCAAGTAATCCAATGGATCTTCCAATGCTAAGCCATGAAACTTGTTTGATTGGACCATATAAATCAAGGCAGACTTGATTTTGAAGTTGTTGTTCTCAGGGGATGGTGCTTGAATTCCCTGGTGGTTTTGGTGTGCATTTGCTGCATCACCAGCTCCAACAACATGTATTGGACTTGGAGGATGAATGGGAGCTCGTGGTGGTGGAGCTTTCTTCTGAACCTGTTGGTTTCCATTACCAACTTGAGCCTGTTGCTCTTGAACTTGTGGCTGAACTGGCTCCATACCCAATCTCTCAATGTATCCAGCTTTTTCTCTTTCTCGGCGTGCTTGACTCCTTTTAAGCATGCACCTGATATTGAGAGAAACAAAACACCAGCAAGGGAGTTAAATAACAAAGTAAATTAAAGCTTAATCTCACAAAGAATCCAAATCCTAATGTTCAAAACTAAACTCTAATGGCAACAGCACCAATTGATAAGTAGATATTTTTTCAATCTAGAAATCAATACTCTAGATGATATGTAGCATAAGAGGTACCAATCCATAAAGGGTTACGTTCGAAACACTAAGAATACAAGAAACTAAATGAGTTAAGTAAGCAAAGAGGTTGTTTTTAACACTATGACTTAATGAATTCAAATGAAAACAAGCAAGATCGAACACAACTAAACAATATTAAACTATCAATTAAAAAACAAGTCTTTAGGCAAGAAAATTGATCAGGGATACTTAATGCTAATCTATGATGTCTACAAACCCACACAAGTGCTAATCCTTAAGTCTAGGATACTAATTTTAAGTAATATTTTCTCAAGGCACTAATCACTTTGTTAATTATTAAATTAAATAACTAATTCTCATTAGTCAAATTAGCAATCTCAAGCATTAATTTCAAGTTCCAATAACCAAATAATCACATTAGACATCTACTCTCATAGGCTAATCAAGAAAATCTCTTGCTTAGTTCTTTGAGGAATTTCATCAAACATCTTGTATACATAAAATTCCCTAAGACCTTTAATTTACTATCTCTAGTCTAATCAAGCATTAATAAGACCAAACGAGAAAGGATAATGAAGTTTAAGAGCCTAGACATCATAAATCAAGCATCAAATTCCCCTAATCTACCAAACCCAAAAAGTATAAAGAGAATACTCACTAATCATGACTAAACCCATACAATCTAAAAATATAAGGATGTTAATCATGATTAAAAAGATAAGAAATGAAAAATAAGATGAAACAAAAATCTAAATTTAATAAACTTAGAAAGATGCAATACAAAAGCTCTTAATTTATCGAAAGAAGAAAGTTTTTTTAAGAGAATTCAAGATAATTTTAAAAACTAGGTCAAAAGCATATTTATAGAGTTCTTGGTTGAATTACGTCAGCCCGGAACAAACCAGGTCAGCCCAGATTAAACCGAATCCTAGCCTGGTGAATCTGGGTCGTGATGGTCCATACTGAGCCTAGCTGTCATCCATACCGAGCACACATGGTCGGTATTGGCCTTCTCCTTCTCGGAAAAACGTAAGTACTGACCTCAGCCACCACCCATACCGAGCTGGTCAGCTTGGTATTGGCTTACTCCTTCTCGGAAAAAAATTAACTACCAAACTCAGCCACCACCCATACCGAGCTAGTCAAGAAGGTATTGGCTGGTCCAGATTCCTTCTTGCTTCTAAGATTCTTCTTGTGCCCAAGACTCCAAAGACAGTTGCTCCAAGGATCCCATTTCCATTCACTGCCTCCAAGAACTCCAAAGCACCTAGAAAAGATTCCAAAATATTCAAGACTCATAGGACTTAATGCAAATTCCTATCCACACTCAAACAAGGTTAAAAGAACAAGAAAATTATGAAATGCATATGACTAAATTCTAAAATCTAAATGAAAGGAATGCCAAACTGATGAAAAAGATGAGTATATCACTCCCCCTGCTTGTGGGCTTAACCTCGTCTGATACTCGGTGCGCTACTTGATGTGTCGTGTGGTGAGGGTATCAAGTTTTACCCTAAATGAAATCAATAGCCGCAAATGCACAGCTGATCGTTTGTAGTACTTAGGGATCGAATCCACATGGAAGGAGGATCTTTCCTGAAAAAGCCTTCAAAAGAAATGTGAAGTAAGGAAGTCTAGAACCAGGCGATTTTTGTAGGAGTTTTGGTGGTGTTTTTTCAAACGTAAAAACTAATCTTAACGGGAAAATACGATAACTAAAATAACCTAACAACTAAACTTAATGAAATCGACTAAAAACGAGAAAACGGCTAGACCTAATTGCTTTAAATGAAAATCGTCTAGAATGAAGAAAAATAACCTAAGGACTAAAACTTGTATTGAAATCGGCGAAAACTTATAAAGACGAGACGCTGGGTTTTCAGGGAAATTCTCTCCGGGGGATGAACGATTCAAAACATTGCTAAAGCGTAAATTTAATAAGATCCTAGCTAAAACTTTTAGAACTCGAATCACAAATGTATGAATACGCCACTGTCTTGATCATAACTAACTATCTCTCTCAACCCTGACCAGTAAGTTTCTACTCTGGCCCTGGAAAAGAAAAGATGTAGTAAACTTAAGACTCATCAATATTCACAGCTCTCCCATAGGGTAGGTTTCCACTCCTATGGTTGATCTGCTCTTCTCGAACTAGATCAGGCCTCGAAGGAAAACTTTCGCAACACCCAAAACCGGGATCAGATTGTAGTTCATGACGGTACTCCCATGCATTATAAATAAGTTTAGAAGATAAAGTTCTAGGATTCGGCTTCAATAGCTAATGGAATCCTCATCGAACATATATAACCCCATCGAAAATCCCTTAAACCCAACAATAAAAGTACTCAGACATGATGAACGAAAGCAAAAACATAGTATTAAAAAGTAGAGAAGAAATCGAAAATAACAGAGAAACAAAAAGGGTTCAAGAGATAGATCTCTCTCCCTAAACCTAAAACAAAAGCTTAAAGTTGTATCTTTTCTAAAGTATTTCGTCTCTCTCTTAAAACAACCTAAATGATAAGTATTTATAGTTTCCAATGCTCTATGGTCTCTATGGTACCAGAATTGAGGCTGAGAAAATGACTTGAGCTTCAGAAATGGGCCTTCTAAATCGGAGATGGCTGGCCGCGGTCAGACAGGATGTGTCCGTGGTGAATGGATGCTTGGACGCGGTCGTATAGCCTCTGACCATGGTGAAAAGGCTGTTGGCCGCGGGTGAAAATGCTTGCCGGCAGGTTTACGGGACATCTTGCTCTTCGCGTAACTTTTGATAGAACAGTTGGATTGCCAAACTGTAAAGTGTGCTGGAAAGCTGATAGTTCCATCTTTGAGGTCTCCAAATTTTAGCTGGATCAGTGAGAAGGTCTTCATCTGAGGGTGAACTTCTGACGGTTTGACTCTGAGCTGAAAATCTGGTCTTCTATCCATTTTGTTAAGCTTTTCCCTAGGTTTCCTGAAAAGAGTTTTAGAACTATAAATACTAGAAAAACATAATAAAAACACTTGAAAGCAATAAAAAACATAGAAAAAATATTTCAAAACGATCCGTAAAAGTGGTCAAAATACGGTGTTATCAACTCCCCCAGACTTACACATTTGTTTGTCCCCAAACAAAGCAAAAGTCTAACCTGGTCAAGTGAAAAAAAAAATAGGGAATGCACAAATCTTAGAGACATGAACTCCTAAACTAGGACCATAGATCGTACATCAATCCACAACTTAGTCTAGAAAATTCTCACGAAGACATAAAAGATACGAATCCACTTTTTCCATCATCCAAAACTTAAACAATCTAAATCTCGATTTCAGTCAACTAGCTCTCTACATTCATTGAGTGAAAAAGTGAGTTCTCATCAAAGACATCATGCAGGGTAGACGGCGTTTGGCATTAAGGGCTGTTTAAGTGGTGGAGTTAAAAAATTTTGGATTACCTGATGAATCTGGAGGATGTAAGATATTATGCAAAACCGCAAGAGAGATAAAGCCCTGTTGATGACCGCAATTTTCAGTCACTTTTTTCTTGTCCAATGTTGTTGCATACTCCTTCCTCATTTGTTGTGAACAGCTATTCCCCCAGACTTAGATCTTTTCCGGGAATCAGAAAAATGATCACCAAAACTCCATAAGATCGAACTCTAGCTTGCCTCAAAGATAAAATCGATCCTCTTAGACTCTCTTAAGGTTTTATTTTCTTTCCTTTCATTTTTTTCTTTTCTTTTTCAGATTTTTTTTTTAACGAGGAAATAACCTTTTAGAGAGAGAGAAAGTCTAAGGGACGAAAATGTACCAATGTTAGGCGATTTTTCTGAGGTAAGCTGAGTTTTCTCCTTTGTTGAATCCTTCCGGTAAAACTTCCGGCAAAATCGCAATTCTTCGTCTTGGTGACTGAAAATTACGTTGTTCCTCTTTCTCTCAGGCATTTTTGCACATATATGCATATAAGACATTAGAAAACAAGAGTGCTTGTGGTTTGAAAGAGGTTTGGTTAAGGTGAGGAACAGCTAAAGATGAACTAGCCATTCAGGATCAACAGAGAGTGGTAAAAGGGTTAAGGAGTCCTGAATGTATGATTCGTTTTCCTGGTCTAATGCTTTAATGAGAGAGTTAAGTCCATGTTAAGTCCAAATAAAACAGAGCTAGTGTATTTCTTCATCTAAATCAAAATCATTCAAATTCTTCTAGGGTACTTCGCTTCAAATGTGCTTAGCTACCACCTAGTCTAGTCCTAAATCATGAATGAGGATGTCACTAGGAACAGTCTAAAAGCACACAGTCAACTATCATTGGTTCATGTTCACC